TGGCCCTCGGCGCCCTGGGCAGCCAGGCACACCTGGCCGTCAAGGACGAGAAGAACCACCACGACCTGGACCACAGAGGTGAGGGGGGGATGCTGTTCCTGCAGCCACAGCCGTGGGGTGGGTGGGTTGGAAGGTTAAAAGTGACGCCAGGGGGCTCTGAGCTGGGCTGGGGCAAAGTGAAAATTTTCCAGATTAGAAATCCATTTTGGTTTAGGTGAAATGTACTGTTCTTAAGGAAACATGGCTGTGTAGCCTGACTGCAAGGCCTGGGCTCAGGGAAACTGATCCAGTGAAGGGCAGAGATGAGGAGGAGGGAGACAGAAGCTGATAAAGAGAGATAAGAGAGATGCTGTGAGAGTGGTCAACCTGAGCTAGGAATTCTTTCTGATAAAGAAGAACTAGCAGCAGATGTCACTCAAAATTCATAAAAATGAATATGTATGAACCTATTGTGAAACTATATGCATTTGTATTTGAGAGGGGGATAAAAAAGGACCTGAAGTTCCCATGTCATTTTAGGGGAACAATTCCCACATGCCTCCAGCGCTGTAATGAACATACCGACTTTACAACTTCCACAAAAGTTGTGGAGTTTTGGTTATCTCCACAAAACAGGGTTTGGACACTCAGCGATCCAGCTGCTCTGGGCACCCTGTGCCAGGTTCTCACCACCCTCACAAGGGACAATTCATTCCCAATATCCCACCCAAATCTCCACTTCTCTGCTATGAAGCCATTCCTGGTTTCCTGTCCCTTGTCCCAGTCCTTCTAGGATAGTCAGTAAGAAGAGAACTAGTAGAGTTAGGAGTGAAACTGCTGGTATTGTGGAGAATAGGGCTGTAGAGAGGAGTTGCATGAGAAGGTGGCCCTGCTGTGAGGTTGGCTTGTCCCAATCCTTCTCCAGCTCTCCTGGAGCCCCTTTAGGCCCTGCAAGGGGCTCTGAGCTCTCCATGGAGCCTTCTCTTCTCCAGGGGAGCATTCCCAGCTCTCCCAGCACTTGGAGTGACTCTGTGCCCTCCTCAGGAGTTGCTCCAGGTCCCTCAGATGTTGGGGGATCACCTTGGTCCCGTCGTGGCTCATTTTCCACCACCCCATCCCTCGGGTCAGCTGCAGTCAGATCATGGGATTGCCCTCTTAGGGATGCAGAATTCCCTAAAATGATGCTCCCAGCCTTTGGTGGAGCCTGGCTGCAATTCTTGTGCTGTGCCTTAATGGGAAAGCAGCCTTCACCCTCCTCCCCTTCCTCCTCCTCTCCATCACCACCATGGTGAGGGATCCAGCTCTGTGCAGCAGGAACTTGGTGCTTTTTCCCATTCTTTGGGATCTGAGGATTTGTTAGCAGATGGAAGGATCTGTGGATCCAGCTGCAAACCAGGGTTGCCCTGGCAGATCCCCCTGCCCACCAGCACAGGAGGGTTTGGGATATTTCCACTCTCCCATTGGCAGGGCAGGTTCCCACAGCCCCTCTGAGCTGTTGGGCTCTGCTGGGGGATTTGGGGTGGAAAAAGAGCAGTGTGAGGCAGAACTGTGGGTAACGATGCTCCTGCTCCATTTCCTGCATGGATTCAGATTGCAGAGATCCCAGGGGAAATGGACATTTTGGGTGCAGAGGAAGGGCTGAACCACCTGCTGGCTGTGGAGCTGTGACTCCAGGGACACACCTGGGGCTGCTGCCTTTCCCTTTGCATCCAGGGCATTTCCAGCTGTGTTTGGCCAGATAAATCACATGGACAAAGAGGGCAGGAATTGGTTGGGAGAGATGGATGGAGGGTGATTCTAAAGCTGGGGAGAGCCCGGACAGGGCTGGAGTTTAAGGGTTTAAGAGCATGAGGAGGTTCTGCGTTTATTTTTCTGGTTTAAGACTTATCCTAACTTGCTTTATTTTCCTGTCTCTGTTTTGGCTGTGCCCTCCCCTGTGCCCTGGCATCTCCTGAAGAGCGAGACTCAAGTGCAGTAAGTGCCATTCCTTCCTTTTGCTCCCACTTTCTGCTGGCTGCACGGCTGAGTTTTATTTATCCCTTAAAAACCCACCTGGTGGCTGGGAGCTGCAGGGCTGCCTTTGGCACAGGTCTTATTAAATAATAAACCAGGCAATAAAATCCCTCGTCCAGCCTGGAAGAGCTGTGCTGGGGTGAGAGGAGTCACCTTCTCTGTGGTGGCGGTTTGGAAATGTGATTTAAATCCCTTTGCTTGTGGCAAAGAACATCAGGAAATTCCATCATTTGGGCTGAGTGAGTGTGGTCAGACCAGATCCCCTGGGTGGTCAGGGGAGCTGCTTCATTCCTGATCCTTCCCCCATAATCTGGGATGGGGTTGGTTATTTCTCCAAACTATGCAGGACTTGGAAGCCCAAGCAGCTCCCAACCAGGGAAATCCCTGGATTTTGGAGCCACCTCAGAGGCTGCCCTTGGGATGGATTCTCTGGGAGCAGGGATGGAGAGGATGTGGAGGGAGGCAGGATCCAGGTGCTGGGGCTGAGCCAGCACCTCCCAGCCCGGTGTCAGGGAAAATGGGACATCAGGAGGAATTATTCCATGGAAAGGGCTGTGAAACGTGGGAAGGGGCAGCACAGGGAGGCTCTGCAGACGTGTCCCTGAGCTCTGTGTGCTGCTGACCAGGTGGGGCCGGGTCCAGGTGGGGCTGGGCCATGGCGGAGCTCATTCCCCAGCACAGCATTCCGTGTGAAAAGCTGCCAGGACACAAAGGGCAGCTGAGCTGCGGCTTGGCAGCGATTTCCTGCCAGCCCCGAGCCCACAAACGGCCCTTTGGAGAGCGGGGAAGGGAAGTGCTCTGCGAGGGGGGAGAGGCAGAGGGGAATTGGGCATCATTAACCCGCTCCTGGGGCGGGCAGGGGGCCGTCGGAGCCGGGCAGCTTCCCAATCCATAAACGGCGAGCCGGGGTATTCCCCGTGGAGGTTTAATGTGTGCGATAATCAGCGTTAGTCATTCATATTTTCCCCAGCCTTTGCCTGTGCAATAAAAAATATTTAGTTCCTTGGCGGCGGGCCAGGAGCGGGGCTGAATGGATCGATGCCTCTAAATGCCTGACATGATTCTCTGGGAGCTGCGAGGGTTTTCAGCATGACTGCCTGGGAAGAAAGAGCTCCGTGTTATCCAAAGCTGCTTAGTGGGGACCAAGGAGAAACATGAACTGCTTTGGTTCTCCCTTTCAGCAGGGGAAGAAAGGCGGGCACGGCTCAGGAACGGCGGGGCTGGCAGGCTGGGGGAGCGGGGATGGAGCAGGGAATGTGCAGGGAGAGAGCAAGGATGGATCCTGCTGATCCCAGAGACTGGGGAGGGAATGTGCAGGGATGGAGCAGGGAATGTGCGGGGAGAGCAGGGATGCAGCAGGGAATGTGCAGGGAGAGGGCAGGGATGGATCAGGGAATGTGCAGGGATGGATCAGGGAATGTGCAGGGAGAGGGCAGGGATGGATCAGGGAATGTGCAAGGATGGATCAGGGAATGTGCAGGGAGAGCAGGGAATGTGCAAGGATGGATCAGGGAATGTGCAAGGATGGATCAGGGAATGTGCAGGGATGGATCAGGTAATGTGCAGGGATGGATCAGGGAATGTGCAGGATGAGAGCAGGGATAGCAGGGATGGATCCTGCTGATCCCAGGGACTGAGGGGAGGGAAATGTGTGATCAGGGCCAGGCATCCTCCTTGTTGTGCTGCTGTGTTTTCCTCCATTGTTCCCTGGGAATGCCGGCGTCTCCTGGGCTTTGTTGCTTGGAGCAAGGGCAGAATTCCCCCTGTGCCCTGGCGCTCCTGGTCACGTGGGTTTTCCAGGACGTTTTGTGGATGTCCTTTGGCTCCAGGGTTGGGATGCAGCCATTCCTTTGCTCCTCCTGGCTGAGGCTCCCAGCTCTGCCAGAAGGAGAACTCCTGGGCTCTGGAGCTTTCCTGGGAATGCCAGTGTGTCCTGGGTTTTGCTGCTTGAGGCAAGCACAGAATGCCCAATGAGCAAAGCTGTGCCATGGGCACTGGGCTCTGCCATTCCTGGCCATGTGGCTTTTCCTACATGGTTTTGTAAACAACCTCCTCCTGCGTTTTCCTGCTGTTGCAGCAAAGGAGCTCAGGTGTCCCTGGGCATCCTCACAGCATTCCCAGTGCTCTCAGTGAGGCTGATGTTGATCTGTCCCCTGTGGATCTGGATCCTGTGGCATGGGGGGACCACGGGGTCTCATCCCTGCTGGGACAGGGCTGTGCTGCTGGTGGCGCCTCGTTTCCTTCTGTTGCCCTTCAAAGCTTCTCCCATCCCACAGAATAATTCCGTGTCCCCCTCGGAGAGCCTGCGGGCCAGCGAGAAGCACCGGAGCTCCACAGACTACAGCATCGACTCCAAGAAGAGGAAAGCGGAGGAGAAGGACAGCATGAGCCGATATGTGAGTGACAGGGACAGCTCTGAGGCCACGGGGACACCTGGGGCAGCGCCTGGGGGCAGAAAGTGGGATTGGGGTGGTGCTTTCCAGCTGTGATGTGAGTCAGCTGGGGCAGAGAACCGTGGAGTCATTCAGGCTGTAAAAGGCCTTGGAGACCATTGTGTCCAACCACCCCCCAGCACTGCCAGGGCCACCATAACCCATGTCCCCAAGTGCCACATCCACTCCCTAGCTGACTGCGCCCTGCCCTGGGCAGCCCCTTCCAACACCTGACCACCTTTTCCACGGGAGAATTTCCCCTGATCTCCATCCCAAGTGTCCTGCTGCTGCTGCTGGGGATGGTTTGGCTCCTCAGGGGAGTAGTTTTTGGAGCTCTCTGCGGGGTGTGACACGCTTTGTGTTCCAGGACAGCGATGGTGACAAGAGCGATGACCTGGTGGTCGATGTCTCCAATGAGGTGAGCTCTGTGTTTGGCACGTGGGAGGTGACCGGCCTGAAGGGGAAGCCAGGAGGGAAGGAGGGAGCCCTTCCTTCCCCCTGTGGCAATTCCAAGGCTTTTCCCCCTCCCAGGACCCTGCCACCCCCCGGGTGAGCCCGGCCCATTCCCCCCCGGAGAACGGCCTGGACAAAGCGCGCGGGCTGAAGAAGGGCGACGCTCCCAACAGCCCGGCCTCGGTGGCCTCCTCCAGCAGCACTCCCTCCTCCAAGACCAAGGACCTGGGCCACGTACGTCCCCTCTGGGGTGCCTGGGGCAGGCTGTGGCTCCCAGCAGCTGGAGCTCACCCCTCCTTCTCCATCCCTTCTCCCCCCAGAACGACAAATCCTCCACGCCCGGCCTCAAGTCCAACACTCCGACGCCCAGGAACGACGCTCCCACCCCGGGCACCAGCAGCACCCCGGGGCTGCGGCCCATGCCCGGCAAACCCAGCGGCATGGACCCCCTGGGTGGGTACCAGTGTCACTGCAGTGTCACCAGTGTCCCCAGCACAGCTTCGGCTCGTCCTTGNTAGGGAGAAATGGGCCAAAAAATTAGGGAAAAATGGGCTAAAAAATTAGGGAAAAATGGTCCAAAAATTAGGGGAAAATGGGCCAAAAATTTAGGGGAAAATGGGCAAAAATTAGGGAAAAATAGGGCCCAAAAGCAGGGAAACCATGCCTTGGGGGTCCTGCCCCTGGGCTGTGGCTGACCCAGGCCCTGTGTCCCCGCAGCACCAACAGCAGGTGGCCCAGGCTGTTGAACGTGCCAAGCAAGTGACAATGACGGAGTTGAATGCTATCATCGGGGTACGTGGACTTCCCAATCTGCCTCTCACCGTGTGTATTCCCCTTTTATTCCTATCATTTACCATATCCAGAGGCAACCCTGCGCTCAGGAGGGCACCCAGGGCGGCTCCCAAAACCCCAAAAGTGCCCCAATCCCACAGCTTCTGGCTGTCCCAGAACCCCAAAAGTGCCCCAATCCGGCCCCCATCAGGACGGGGCTGGGAGCTGCTGCCTCCCTGGCAGCTCCAGATTGCAGGGGGATGTTCCTGGGGGGATTTGGGGTGGGAGCCTCCCCAGCCCCTGAGGCCAGGCTTGTCTCTGCAGGGCTGTTGGTGTGCAATGTGCTGTGCCCTCGGCAGAGTTGTTGTTCCATGCATTGACCCTTTCCCCGCACAGATTGAGGGGTTCTGATGGAAAATTAACAATTCTGATCGTTTCTGTACCTGCTGTCACTGCCTTGGTCCTGCAGCAATCCCTGGGACATCGAATTCCCAATCCATGTCCTGGGCAGGTGGCTCCAGAGCTCCTCTGGCTTTGTTTCCCAGAAAATACTCATTTATAATTACTTTTAATTTTTAATAACTATTTACCCTTTGTAGGCTTCAAGGATCTTTGTAATTCTCTGTGTCTAACTTGCTCTTCCATCCATTTTCCTGTGTTTTATGGGTGTCACCCACTGTGGAATCGTGCCCTGGGCTCCTGCAGTTTTTGGGAATGAGGAAGCAGCTGGATCCCTCACGGTGGGGCTGGTGCCCCTTGGGAAGTGCCCCAGGGATGGCAGCTGAGTTTTGGGGTGCTGCTCACCCATTCAGGGTGGGCTGGGAGCTGCTGCAAGTGGCAGATATTGGAATTCAGTTAAGGTGGATGAGGAGCCCGTGACCCCCATTCCCTGGCTAATTGCTTGCCTGGGTCACAGCGAGGCCCTGCTGTCATTAAGAGCCAGCCCAGCCCTTTAATCACCTCCCTGACGAGGAATCACAGGCATCTCCCCTGGGCTGGCCCAGCAGGGAGGGACACGCTGCTGCTCACCGGTCCCACGGCCTCCCATGGCTTGGCCAGAGATGGGGAGCGGGTTTAGGTGCTGGGTCTGTGCTCCTGCACCTGCTCCAGAGCTGAAAACCCAGAGGATTTTGCCTTTTTCCCTCCCCTCTGTGCAGGGAGTGGTTGGTTACTGTAGGGTTGCTGCAGACAGGAGGAGATGGTGATTCCATGGCTTGAGGGGATGGTGATTCCATGGCCTCCCATGGTTTTTGGACATGGTTCCAGGGCTCCTCCCAGAGCATGGGGCTGGTTTGGGTGGCAGCTCCAGCTCCAGTCCCCAAAATGCAGAGGATTTGGTGTTTTGCCCTGCCCTCAGCAGGTTTATTTTGTAGGGCTGCCCACATGGACACATCCCTGGCTGGGTTTGCTCAGCACTGGGGTGTCCTGGTGTCCCTGGGTGTCCCCACTGTCCCCAGCCTGCCCCAACACCCCGGTGCAGATGCTGCAGCATCCAAACTCCCCCCCAAACGGTGCAAAGCTCCTTTTTTGCCCCTTTTGAGGTCAAGATCTGTTAATTTTATGCATCTGGGCCATTGTCTCTCAGCTCCTGCGCTCGAGGCTGGGCTGAAATGGAGCCTTGATTTGGTTGTAGCCCTGGAAATGATTGCCCTGGAAATGATTAAACTCCGTCACTAAATTTAACGCCGGCGCTGAACTGAAGTGCTGAACCATTAAATCGGGAACAAAGGCATGGAGCGTGATGGACATAATCCAATTAAAGCCACTCCACCAGCAGACACTCCCTGCCAGCCTTCCTCCCAAATTTGGAGCCTCTTCCCATGTCCCCACCTCTGAGGAGCTCCGAGGGCGCTGCCCCGGGCTGGGTGTGCAGGGATTGTTATCCATGATTGATACCTGGGATTGCTGTCCCTCCCCAGCCCCTGTTTCCTGGGACTCTGGGGGCATCACTCCCTGCCAGGGTCCTGCAGCACAGGAGGAGCCCAAACTGCTGCTGGAATTCAGCTGGAGCCCCAGGGCAGCATCCTGAGGGATCCGATTGTGGATCACCTCAGCCACTCCATGATCCTGGGATGCTGCTCCAAACCTTGTCCTTGTGTGTGCCACTTGTCCAGCAGGACCTCATCCCTGGGCAGGAGGGTTTGGGGTTCCCAAAGAGCCTCCCCATCCCTGGAATGCTGCTCCAAACCTTGTCCTTGTGTGTCCAGCAGGACCTCATCCCTGGGCAGGGGGATTTGGGGTTCCCAAAAAGTTTCCCCATCCCTGGAATGCTGCTCCAAAGCCTTGTCCTTGTGTGTCCAGCAGGACCTCATCCCTGGGCAGGGGGATTTGGGGTTCCCAAAGAGCCTCCCCATCCCTGGGATGCTGCAGGAAGCCCTCACCCCGTGGTGCTGTTGGAACCCAGCATTTCCAGGGCTGGGATAAGGGATGGGAAGGGAGGGATGGGCCCTTTCCAGCAGGGGACACTGGGGACAGGCAGGAGCTCTGTGCCACCAGTGCCAGGTGGGCTGTGTGCCCCTCCTGGGAGCCTCCAGGACGTGGTTCCAAAGGGATGTGCAGCAAGGATGGAACCTGGGAATTCTGCAGCACCACCCTGGGCTGAGCCCAGGCTCCTTGCCATGGGAATGACCTGCCTGGGACACAGATGGAGCTCTGCAGCCCTGCTTTGGGACCTTGGCCACCCCAGGACACAGGGATGAGGCTTCAGGACATCCCACATGGATTCTGCCCTCGCTGCCAGAGAGGAGGAAACCAAACCCAGCTGGAGATGTTGCTGTGGGCCACCAGGGATGCTGTGCCCTGTGAGGGCTGTTCCTCACCGAGCCCGTGGATGGATTTACCTGTGAAGAAATCCCAGTTTGTTCTTCTCTGCTGGAGCAGCTCCAGGTGCTGATTGTTCTCCCCACGGTGCTCCTTGAGGGGCTGTGCTGTGCCCTGGGCTGCTCCAGGGCTGGAATTGCCACCCACACCCTGGGAATTGGAGTGCTGCTGTTCCACCAGGCCGCGTCCCTTTTTGGGTGGAAAGCTGCTGGGATGAGTTACAGCCTGCAGATGTTTGTGGAAGCTGGAGATGGCTGAGGATAAGCCAGTGGATCTTGGTGTGTTCCAGGGATGGGATATGGAAATGCCAATGGAGAGCTCCCAGGAGAGCAATGTGGGAATGTTGGAGGTGCTGGAAAACCACCCGGGGCCGTTCTCTGGGATGCTGCTCTGCTACAGTGGCCCTGCCTTTCCCTCAGATGGGTGGAAATGCTGTGAAATGGGGATTGGGAAGAGCCCCAGGGATCTGTTCCGTTTGTTTTGGTGCCAGAGGATTGATCCTGGCACTGAGGGACCAACCTTGTGCCCCTCACCCCCAGCTGTGAAATGGGGATCGGGAAGAGCCCCAGGGATCTGTTCCGTTTGTTTTGGTGCCAGAGGATTGATCCTGGCACTGAGGGACCAACCTTGTGCCCCTCACCGCCAGCTCTGCTCCGTGTTTGGGGACGCTGTGGAATGTCCATCCTGAGGATGCTTCCCATCCTGCTGGCAGAACCAGTCCTGCTCTGGAAGGCTCAGGGATTTATGGATTCCTGCAGCACAGGCCTGATGGCCTGCTCCATGTGGCTCCTGCTGCAGTTGGGATCTCAGAGCTGCTTCCATGGATCTGCTGTGCCTGGGGCTGCCCTCAGCTCCCACCTGGAATCTTCTTCTGCATGGGCATTTCCCTCTCCAGCCCAAAGCAGCTCTGGAAGGGGTGGGTGACCCAGGCAGGGCCTGCTCCATCTGCTGCGTCCATGGAGTGGGACAGGACGTCACCTTCTGCTGCCCAAAATGGGTCCTTGCATCGGGAACGGGCCAGGGCTGTTCCTCCAAAACTTGGAGTTCATGTGGGGATGGAGTGCTGGAATGGCTTGCTTATCATGGAACCATGGAATGGTTTGGGGTTAAATCCCACCCAGTGCCACCCCTGCCATGGCAAGGACACCTCTCACTGTCCCAGGCTGCTCCAAGCCCCAATGTCCAACCTGGCTTGGGCACTGCCAGGGATCCAGGGGCACCTGGGTGCACCTTCTGCAGCTCTGGGCAAGATGTGCTGGAAATTTCCTTGGTGGAATTAGTGGGAACACAGATGGATCCCTCCATCCCTGGGGATGTTGTTTTGGGGATCCCTCCATCCCTGGGNACGCCAAGGTGTGCTTCTCGTGCTGCAGCGACGGCAACATCGCCGTCTGGGACCTGCACAACCAGACCCTCGTCAGGTGAGCCCCGACGGGTCCTGCTGCTCGGGGGTGCTGGGGTAGGATGGGCTGGGAAGGACCTTAAAGGTTGCTTTTATCCCGTCACGTTCCCTTTTGTCTTCTGTCGGTGTTCCTGTTCCCTTTTCTCTTTCCCTACAATGTCCCTTTTCTTCTGTTTTTGCCAGTGTTCCTTTACCCCTTCCTCCACAACGTCCCTTTTCCTTTTGTCAGTGTCCCTTTTCCTTCCATCAGTGTGTATTTTCCTCTTCTTTTTCTCAACGTCTCTTTTTCTCTTTTGTTAACATCCCTTTTCCTCTTCCATCAGTGTCCCTTTTCCTCTTCCTTTTGTCAGCATCCCCTTTCCTTTTGTTAGTGTTCCACTTCCTCTTTTGTCAACATCCCTTTTCCTCTTCCTTCCATCAATATTTCTTTTCCTCTTTCCCCACCCCATTGCCATCTCTTTCCTCTCCTCCTCATCATGGTCCCTTGTCCTCTTCTCCCCATCACGGTTCCTTTCCTCTTTTCATTGGGCAAAACCACCTTCCACTATCCCAGGTTGCTCCAAGCCCCGTCCAACCTGGCCTTAAAAATCCAGGGACAAGGAGTCCACCACCCTCTCAGGGCTGGAGCCAGGAACACCCTCTGGTGATGCTGCACCATCTCCTGGTGCTCATCCCTAAACCAGCCCAGTCCTTGGCCAGGCTGGTGCTCCTCAGCTCAGGATGCTCCTGGATGGATTTTCAGAAATATTTGTTGCGGACGAGCCACACAAACATCTGAGCACCGTGAACGCGGCTCTGTGCCTTTCCTAGCGCTGCCCTTTCAGAATTCCATGATTTTTTTTCTGCTCCCAAGGCAATTCCAAGGGCACACGGACGGGGCCAGCTGCATAGACATCTCCCACGACGGTACGAAGCTGTGGACGGGGGGCCTGGACAACACGGTGCGCTCCTGGGACCTGCGGGAAGGGCGGCAGCTGCAGCAGCACGACTTCACCTCCCAGGTGGGCAGGGGAAGGGGACACCGGGGTACAGGGGGCAGGGATCCATCCTGTGAGGCCCCTGGCTGCTGGAGGGGGCTTTTCCTGCTGGGAAAACGGCCCTGGGAGCTCCGAGCATGGCTGTTCCCACTGGTTTTGGGGTGGCCCGGGAATGCTGGGGCTGCCTGGATCTTGTGGCAGCTCCTCTTTTCCATCCTTGCAGGATGAGGCAGCTGTTGAGGGAGCAGCTGTTTTCATGGGATACCTGTGGGTGTAACAGGGTTCTCTGGGTGCCCTTGGGTGGGATGAGAGCAGGGCTCAGAGATCAGGATCCTGCCTCCTCCAGCAGAGCCTGATCCAGAGGGGTAGAGCTGGAATGTTGTGTCCCATTGGAAGGGCAGCAATATCCATGGGCATGGAGCCATCCCAACCCTGGGATCTGCCTCTCCCCACCTGCTCCATCCATCTGGGGCTGGCCAGCAGCTCCCAGAATGGTTGGGCTGGGAGAGGCACCTTGAGGATCTCTCATCCCACCCTTGTGTAGGAGGCCAAGAATTCCCACTGATCTCCCCATATCCCACTTCCATCCACAGATCTTCTCCCTGGGATACTGCCCGACGGGCGAGTGGCTGGCGGTGGGCATGGAGAGCAGCAACGTGGAGGTGCTGCACCACACCAAGCCCGACAAGTACCAGCTGCACCTGCACGAGAGCTGCGTGCTCTCCCTCAAATTCGCCTACTGCGGTGAGCAGCAGGGCAGGCACGGGCACCCTGCAGTCCTGGGGTGGGCTGGCATGGGAGGGATGGGCACCCTGCAGTCCTGGGGTGGGCTGGCATGAGAGAGATGGGCACCCTGCAGTCCTGGGGTGGGCTGGCATGAGAGAGATGGGCACCCTGCAGTCCTGGGGTGATTTGGGAGACGTGGGCATCCTACAGT